AACCTTGACTCAGTTATCAAGATAGATCTTTTCTGATGTGGAAGATCAGACTATGCTGCAACCACAGAGCATACTTAGACAGTACCTTGGCTCTGATACCAATTGTTGCGGAAGCCAAATGTATATAGTGTGAATGAGTCACAACTACTATACCAAAAATTATGACAACCACTAAATAATAAACAAGACAATAAGACAACAATAAAAGAACACCAGAATTTACGAGGTTTGGTCAATTTTGCCTACTTTCTCGGACACAATCAATATTTTATTCCACTCCAAAATTACAAGTGAAATAATACTAAAGAGAGAAGATACAAATGCCTTAAGAAGATAAAAGGCAAATGAGAGGTGTGTTTAAATCCTAAACATTAGGCCTCCTTTTATAGGGTAAAATTCCCATTCAAAATTGTCATCCACCGATGTGTGACTTTTGACAATTTCAACAGTTAATAACCCTATATAACAATTAGAGATCAATACAATACTGCAGGTTTCAATAACATATAACTTAAATTGTTTAGCTTCTTAAACACAAAACTCATGATCTAACTTTGCAAGCACGTACTAATTATCTAGAGAAGCGAAATGTGCCACTCATAGCTTGTTGCAAAGTAAATGCTGTAAACCATAATGTTCAATCAATGGGGAGAAAAGTGGAACAAAATACCAATGTTGTCATGGTGTCAGTCAAAGAACACAATCTCAGCTTCTTTCACATATCTACTACTTATCCAAATGTAGTAAATAAAAATAAAAATAAAATAAAGTAAAGTATTACCTCCCAACATCAACATCAATATCTCAAGTAACAAAGGAGATTGTAAATGGATTCAAACCTTAACTTAAGTAAACACTCACCGAATTCACATAGGCACGGGCCCATAGGATTAATAATGAATGCAGATGGCTGCGATGCATTTCCCGTTGTAATTTTCTCGCTTCTTTCAACAACTTCTCATCTTCCGACATTGTAACATTTTGACTGCATTTACATTTAATATTATAAAGTTTCAACTTTCAATTGTCCCCATTTGTCCAAGGACAACTTCCCTGTAAGTTTCTATTTAGCAAAATCTAAGTTTAGAGCTCAATCTTTGCAAGGCAAGTTTGACTTAAAACTTTATGCTTGAGCCATCCATTTGTTGACTCGAGATGGAATTTGCTCCCTTTCTGAATAAGTCTTTTGGACTTTATCATCAACTTCAGAAGAAGACAGCCATTTTTGCTTTTTAGATTCACATTTCTTATACATAGAAGCCGAGGTAAATTCACATAACTGTAATATGCAAGTTACACTTTTCAATGGCTGCTATTTACTTGCAAACAAGGTCAAAGAATTTAAAAAGTGATGTAAAAGCTACCACGGCTAAAAAGAAGAGGACTACCACGGTTAAATTGTGAAATTGCCTATCCGCATGTCCTCCTAATTTTTTTCATTTTAAGTCTTTATAGTAAATTTTTCATTTTGAGAGCAACTCTGTTAGTACTAAAGACAATTCACCTTAGTTGATCTCCAATTATCAAGACATGATCTATGGACATACTTTTGGGTTCCTTTACAGTGGCAGGGTGCAATCGGATCTCCTAAAAATCAGTCACCAAACTTCCAGGTGTAAGTATAGTAAACAACAACAGTTCTGAATATATATGTAATTACAATCACGTAGTCGAAAAAATACTCATTATCATTGAGAAATATATCTTCCTGAATGGTCTACATATAACTAAGCGCATAATCAACACCTTCACTGTCTAGGCATATGCGACATTGGGATAGTTCTGCATGTGACAAAGATTGAATTCCGCCAACTTCAACACTTAGAAGGTGACCAGTTGTAATTTCAGTTGAAGGTGAAGTGTCCTCAGAATTCAGATTCCTCGACAATGGCAATATGTGATGAGATGGGCTCTATTTCTGAACTATCCGCTACCAGACTGTCATTTGACACTATTCGCAACGCGAAAAATCTTGACTCCAGATTAAGCTGTAAATCTCATCACGGGGGCTATTGTCCTTACAGACCATTTCAACTGAGAGCGAGAAAACTGCAAAACAGTAAAATAACTGAGAAAACCAGGAATCTGAAGCCTACTTAAAAATGCAATGTTTTAGGTTCAGTGAAGCAATCTGCAAGAGATTGAACATAGAAGATGCAGCCTTCAGTCACTACGATATATATTCAAAAAACACCAACATACATTATGATCATATAATAAGCCATTAGGAAATTTCTATCTACTTTCATTTATCTGAAGTCCTCCTATTGCTAGAAATGCTTCATGAGCATTTTTGCAAGATGATCTTTTTGCCTAATTTACTTTGTTATCATTGAAATAAGCTTTTATAAGACCATTATTGTACAAAATTACTTCTATAACTGCATGAAATTTGACGAGATGATATTGTTTGGTGAATCGGGTTATCTAAAGAAGATTACCTGCCACTGGGAACTTTAAATGGTGCAGACACATTCTTCCTCCATCAGTGATAAAGAAAAAAATGTCACAAAGGGTCGGAATTTCTATTTTAAATTTAGTAGTTTAAGGAGTCCTGTCTAAACAGGTGTTACCAAATATCTTCTTAGCTTTTCAAAAAAGTTAAACATTAGAGAAACTAATAGTTGGTCTAAAAACCGAAAACAGGTCCCCCATTTCTTGCTAAATATAGTTTTACACCCATAAATAGAATATTATTAGTTCCTCCATTAACTTATGTGTAGGATGGGCCAAAGATCTGAAAAAGTAATGCTCCATACAGAGTTTACCAAATAGGTTCTCACATATCCACTGGACAGATATGTTTTCTTCCATGGAACGATCCAAATGAAAATTCCAATACTGAAGCAGGTTTATGATATTGATAGCTAACACTAGGAAGTTCACAAATTGCTTCAAGCAAAAAATTAAATGTTCACTATTCCAACAGGTCAAGAAATGAAGTAGCAGAAGAAACTGTCTGTAAAAAGATGCATAATATGTCTCTTTGTTATCTGGATGTCTCTTTGTTATCAGGTAATCATTTCAAACACAAAAAACCTTCTGCTTGAGCGCCACAACACTAAGTAGAAAATACTCACAAAAAATTGCCAGAGAACCAACCAGTCAAAATCGTGATGTATTCCCTTCAGTAAGCAAAGTCTCCAACTGGAATGGTGTAAAAATATTTCAAGAACCTGGACATCTACATTAGCACTCATTGTACTTTTTTATTTTATTTTTGTTATAAGCACACTCTGTGCACCTTATTATGCTAAGAAAAAACAATTGAAGAAAAGGTCTGTAAAGGTCTGGAAAATGTGGATTTCTTTTTGCAAAAGTATCAGCAATTATTAGTTTGGATAAAGGTACCTCACAAGTGATCAACTTCTATGTGAATAGTAAACATAATTGGTCAATTTTTGATGAAGAAAATGAAGTGTTTGAACAACTTTTACATCAAGCCTTAATTTCAAACCAATCCAAAATGCTATGTCAAACAAAAAAAGATCAACATAAGTAATAGCGTTAACCCCATCAATTTTAAAGCAAAACCCAATTGAACTTCAGCTGATTTTAAAAAAAAACATAGGTATTGCAAAATCGATTAACGGACAAGGAGACCTCCAAATAATTACATCATGACGCAGTTTTTCTAATTTAGCAATTGGATACTAAGGCCATTCAAACAAAGACAAGAAGAAAAAGTATAGGAACACAGCTAAAATACCCAAAATCAAAAAAGAAATTAGGGCTTTTAGCATAAAGATGAATTTTGGAGTATAAGGGTAGAAATAAAGAGGAACAAAGTCAGGGTACTTTACCAATTTGGCCGCCTAAGAAGAGTGTCGTTTCAGGCGTGTTGATGAAACACTCTGCTCAAACTGGTCAAAGTAAGTAGGAATATTAAGAAGAGACCTCCCAGTCCCACACCGGTATCAAAACTCCAATATAATTACTTTATAAAATCAATAAAATAATAGAGTATCGCTGAGCTCGGTTGCGGGAGCTTGTGACCCAAGCTGGGGGCAATGGTGGACTTAGGACTTAGGACCACAAGAAAATGGTGGCTCGGGGATTGTGGTGTGTTCTTAGGCGTCAGTTCTGCGGCCAATCCGTTGGTTGGACCGTCGCTTTTTTATTTGGTTCTGGGGCGGAAAAAGTGCAAAAGTTATCCCCGGTAATTTTTCGCTGGACCCGTGTATTTATACAAAAATAATTATTAAATATATAAAAATATTTAGCTAGAAATTTAATCCAGCTATTAATATATAGTAACTTAATATCACTACACAAATCTATAAACTTAAAATCTTAAAGCCGGGTAGGTTCTTTCGTATATATCAATGCAAAATGTTTTGAACATTTTTTAATGTTATGTTTTATAATTTTATGGTAATTAACCTTCTTATAACAGGACAAACATTAATAATATTATTTAAAAAAAAGTATACTTTTAGGATATATAATTTATATTCTCTCTTTATGAAAAATGATTGCATTAATTGTTGGATGATAAAAAGGAAATTATTGGTTAAAAAACAAAATTCAATATCAACATTGCATTACCTAACAAGTACTTGCTTTTTTTATATAAATCTAAACAACGCTTCGAGAATGTGGCGTATCGATCGTCTTTGTTCTCTATTTTTTTCATTGGAATTTTTTGGCTCCTTTTCATCTTTCCTTTTCACAATCTTAGGAATTTTATTAAATCAATATCCAAGTCAGTTCCTTTTTTTTTTTAACTATCATCAAAAGAGAAAAATAACCTTATTGATAATCAAATAATTCAAATTAAATATATCCTCCTCCATTAGGGTTTTCCTAGATGAATGTTCAAATTCTACGCGGTACTGATATTTTTCACGAGGTAAACACCACACGGCATGCATAATCTCACTCATTAGGGAAGGTTAAGGAAATTTACTTATTAAGGTTAAAGAGAATAGTTTTTGAAACTTTACACTGAGACCCTCTTGAGAATAACAAATTCAGACAACTTACATTCACACAAAGCCACATACTCCAGCATTAATTAAATACTAACTATATAATTTTGTTTCTCTTTTGATTAAAATATGAAGTCCATCGGAATAAATTGAGACCTTCTCAAGCAGTTGCTATGGGACCTAAGTTGACAGACGTTGTTTCCATTGCCTTATTCATTGCTTCAAATCTTGGTTCTTTAGCTTGGAACTTAAGAGCTGCATACAATTTCATATAGTCCTCAAACACAAATTTGGGATACTTTAGTTTGTTTTTCTTTTCTTCTTTCTCAGCCAATTCTGGTGCTGGAAAAATGACAGCATCACTCCCTGGATTGTAGAAAGATGCTATGGACATCCTGTTCCCATCTGGCTGAGCAATTACCCTGTGCTCCACACTCTTGTATTTTCCATTTGTGATCACCTTCATCAACCATTCAACCAAAAACAAAATTATTAGTAAACCATATAAATATTTTACTAACCACATATTAATGTAATAAACACTACATAATGACAATTGAATTAAGAGTTTATGTTCTATAAGTTGATGGTATAAACAATAATTCTATTTACTATTTCTAAATTTCCCTCCTTCCGCCCCTTCATTACTATTTGGATTTTCTATCAATCATATTGACACTGAAATAAATTAATCTATTAAGTCTATATAACTTGAATCCTAAAATAAATAAAATAAAGTATACCTCTAATTGGTCACCTATGTTGACAACAATTGAGTGGCTCATTGGTGGGACATCAATCCATTTACCATCTTTTAGGAGTTGTAGTCCACTGACTTTGTCATCTTGGAATAGAAGTATGATTCCACCTGCATCTGTGTGAGCCCTTAGACCCTTGATTAGTTCTGGTTTTGGACAAGGTGGGTAATTGGCTACCTTTGTTCCAAAAGTTGGACCTTTTGTACCATAAAAAGCCTTCTTTAGATAACCTTGTTCAAGGCCAAGATTCTCACATAGCAAGTCCAAAAGATCCTCTGCCAGTTTCTCTAGTTTTTGTGCAAATTCTTTCATCACCTTCCTGTAATTATGCCCAAGGTAAAATTTAATAAAACAAGCAAAGTCATGGAATATTTTTGTTTTATTTATTGACATGGAATTTACAAATTGGCGAACACGGACGTGTGTCATAATTTGGTGTTGAAAGTTTGACCGTCCATTCATTAATTATATTTTTGAGCAATATGCACATAGTTAGTTATTTTATTGTGACAAGAAAATATACTCTCTCTCTCTCTCTCCTAATTCATTTGATATATTTTGGATTTCGAGATTCAAACTTATTAATTTTGTCTGTAAACTTGAATATAGAATCTTTATTTTATTTTTTAAAAATAAAGTTTATATATTTAGAAACTAAGGCCTCATTTGTCCATAAAATATTTTTCCTTTTTTTCAAAAGAAATTTTCAAAAATGTGTTTGTCCATGAAATTTTGCAAGTTTTTGAAATTTTTTCGAAAATATGTTTTTCAAAACCACTTTTTCAAATTGTACAGAATAATTTTTCCACTCACAAAATTATGCATTTTTTCAAGTGAAATGCATGTCCAAACAAAATTTCAAATTCCAAATACTATTTTTCAATTTAACTCTAAATACTACTTTTTCTTCAAAAATTATAATTTTTATGTCCAAAAGCCTACTAAATCAAAAATACTATAAGTCACAATAATTAATAATTTAAAATATTTAGCATGTGAAAAAAATCGTGCATGATTAAAGAAAAACTCATTTGATTTTCGAAATTCGAAATGCATCAAATAAATTGGGACAAAGAGAGTATAGTTTTATGATTTTACTGGTATAGTGGGTAAGTTTCAGTAATCATACAAGAAAATAACCCCAACACATTCCAATATTTGGAGCATAGTTTCTACTTATGTCAAAAACTATAATTTGGTGATGAAATTGAATGCTAAATAAAGAACTAAAATTGGAAATATTTTGACCTGTAGTCATGATCAAGATCAGGAACATCTGAGATGTTTGAAACAGGAAGGTGTTTCAAGAAGAAAGTAATTTCCCAATCCAAATCATCAATCTCAGTTTGAACAGCCTCAAGTCCTTTGTTTGCCACCATTTCTTTGAATCTTTGTTCCATACACTTCTTGTAATGTTCCTTTGTTAGCTTCTCCACAGTATCCATAAGCTCATGAGAGATCCCATGATTCACCAGCTTTAATTTTATGTATCACAACAGACAATAAAATATATAATTATTGCGCGCGATTTAATTGATTATAGCAGGTTCTTACTCTATTTTTAGGTTACAGCTTTGATACAAAGAGTTATCTATAGTTGTAGATCAATTATACCTTATGATGTAGAAAATCTGTACAGTGTTAGCTAACAGAACTATAAACTCTGGAGAAATTAAAATCATTTACTCACTACGTTAGAGTAGTTCTACTGATCATGTGTGAAATAATATTTACACTAACAAGTTACTAAAAGATGACTACATGCGATCGTTTTTAACAAGTGAAATTAATAACCTAAAAAATACATTAAATTACCTGCTACAATAATATAAAAAATTAAGAATGTAAAAAGATAACTACACTATTAATGTATATAAATTAAATATACAATAGAATATTACCTCAAGGAAGCCCCAATTTTCACAAGCATCCTTTAATTTCTCCATAATCGCAACCCTTTGTTCAGTGTTAAGCATCTCCATGTCAACAACTGGGAAGGTCTCCATCTTTTTTTCTTATCTTTCTCACTCTTCTAAATAATCTACTATGGAATTAATTTAGTAGCTCGTTTGCAGAATGGAAAGGAAGGGTACTTTGGAAGAATATTTATAGACGTTTGAGGTATGGGGAAACAGAAAAAGACAAACAACTAGGTGATTTATTGGAAAAATCTAAATAATTTACAAATATATACTCTTTTCTTTTCCATCTTATGTAAACTTATTTTCTTTTAGTTATTCTGAAAAAAATGGCCCCTTTCAAAATTTAAAACAATTTAAGTTTAATTTCTCATTTTACCTATAATGTAAAAATATTATAGCCACATAAATATAATGACACGTTTAAAACTATCCGTTTCATAAACATTATAGTCACACAATATTACGACATACTTAAGACTAAAGTGTTTAAGAAATTTTTATTTCTTTCTTAAACTTTGTACCCGATTAAATATATTTATATTAATTAAAACAAAAAATTAATGAATAAATACATACATACACACACACACACACACATATATATATATATATATATATATATATATATATATATATATAGGAATAAGTAAAGAAGTGGAAATTAGTGGGAACAGGAGTCGTGGAGGAAGTATGTGAGCACATCCTTTTCTTATTATTGCTTCATCCGTCTTCTTTTTTGGTGGGGTTGGACCTAATTAATTCTACTTCTCTTTGTTTGCTTTTTTTTCTTGAATAAATATTGACCAAAGTAGCGTTGTCACTTTTCTTCATTTTTACGCCTTTGTACACTATAAGTATAATGTAGTATAATTTTGTTAAATAGTTTGTATTTTATGGGTTCGACTTATAGTATTACACTCATTTTAAACCCACTTGTTCAAAATGTTGAACTCGCTTATGTGTAATACCATGTAAAGTTTAAAGCATCCTTACCTTGTGAAAAATGTAAATTTATAGAAAATAATGTACATATGTGAAAGTATACGTGGAATTGCTTAGTCAATTAGTCATGCCTAGAACTTAATTAGTTAAGAATTTCTTACTGCCGGTAGGTTTAAGAATACAGAAGTCAATATATTTTAGATGTTTTGTTGTTGTCCCGTCAAGGTGCCTCAAGTTAGACTATTAGAGAATTCAAGTATATTGTATTAAGGGAAGAATTACATAACGCCACATTTTATGATATTGTTTACTAATATTTTAGGCATGAGAATGTACTTTCTATACTTCACACAGATACAATGTTTCCATAGATTATTCTCTTATGATCCCAATCTATTTGATAGTGTTCAGATTTCGAGAGTCAAATAAGTTATTCTTTAATTGTAATTTTTTTTTATATGCCTTTTAAATATGTCGAATTATTAATTATACACTTTTTAGTACGTAGTTTCTGAATATTTAAGTTTTATTTCAAAAAATTTAAAGATATTATATTCAAATACAATATCAAAATTAAGAAGTTTAAATCT